GAGAAGCCGGTGCCTCGCCCAGCTGCTTCAGGCGAGGGGAGCGCGCTTCAGCTATTCCCCAGCGATGGAAAAAAAGCGGAGCAGGTCCAGGTGACACCCGGAGCGAGAACCTGAGAGCAGGGGAAGGGGCCAGGAGGCGAGGTAGGGAGAGGGAGGCAGGCCGCGCACGCCGGCCGCGGAGGAAGCCGCCGTGCTCAGTCCCTCGCACCGCGCGAGGGAGGCCTGGGCAGGCCCAGCGCCCTCACCCCGGCGAGGTAGTAGGGAAAGGGAACACAGGGGCTCAGCCCTGCCTCACAGGGGCGCCCATGGCGGCCGCGGCCTCCACCTCCCGGCAGGCAGCCACCGCCCGCGCGCGGCCGGGCCGGAGCGAGCCAAGCCGCGCTCCCTCCAACAGCAGCCGCCGCTTCCCACGGAGCCGGAAACCCTCCTCCTGCCCCCCGCCCGCGGCTCGCAGCCTCTCCTCACCGGGGGCCGCCCGCCACTGCCACAGGTGAGCTGAGTCCGGGTGGCGCCCCGCGCCGCGACGGGCAAGAGGCAACGGAGCCGCCGCGGCCGCCCCGGGGCCGTCTCCGCGCTAAATGGCGACGGGAGCCCGAAACCGACACACAGAACGGGGGGGGGGAGGGGGGGGGGAAGGAGGAGGGCCAGCACTGCCGGACACACCCCCTTCCGCGCCCGCGCTGGTGAAGTGGGTCGTATCTCCCCCCCTCCCGCCTCGGAGAGGTGGCAGCTCCCGTCCTCCGCCGCTCTGTGCGGGGAGCATCACGGGAGTTGTAGTTCCTGATGGTGAACAGGCTCCTCGCAGCGCTGGGCCTGTGGCTTCGCCCTGGGGAAGGGAGGAAGGAAGGAGGCTCCTAGCCTGCCCAGTAGCGCCCGGGCACCAATGGAGGGGGGGGGCGAGGCTGCCACAACTCCTGCTCTTTGCACACCCGTGCGATGGTGGGGCATGCAGCACTCACCTCCAGCCCACCCGGCCCATAGGGTGGCCTTGGGCACAGGAGGTTCGTGAAGCACCGAGTCCGCTCCCGTTGTTTGTTTCTTCAAGTCCTGTATTACACCAGTTTACATTAAATATTTAGCTTCGTGTTTTCAAACAGCCTTTAAAATTCTTCTAAACTGCAGGCAGTGATAACTTCGTGTACATGAGTATCCTGTGCACAAGCTTTGGGGTTTCCCTGAGTTTAGGTCATCTAAAGAGGCATTAATTGGCTTGGCAACCTAACATAGAAATAACTGCCATGTAAATGTGTGCTCTCCATTATTGAAAAGAAGGTAGATTTGCAGCCTTTGCCCTGAAAATTATTGTTATTCCACAGGACCCAGGTTGTACAGAATCCATGAGGAGCAGCAAGAGCCCCTGCAAACTGGGCAAATCAGGAACTTTCAGGTTAAAAAAGCACCGGCACATGCGAGTCATCTAGGTTATTTATATCATGTTCCTCTTTCGTATTAATAACCAAAACCAAGCACTTTCCTTCTTACAAGAGCTGTCTTTTGAAGTCAAGGGGAATGTACTGAAGGAGGAGCGAATGATTTTGGTACCATGCCTTTCAGGCAACTACAAATTGAAAATTATGTTAAGGAAAAAAAATATTAGTAAATTTCCCTATGTAAATAATACGTTCCCAGCAAACACTGGCATTTCAAATACTTTTTTTAAAGTTACTTTTAAACCATCAGTTTAGAGGAAGTTGTGTGTTGCCAGTGTGAGGCCCTAACTCCTGCACAACAAAACACAAGTGGCCCTTTCACAGCTCTGCAGTCCCCAGCCACAAAATACCAACCCGAGTAGCTCTTATTCCTCACGTACAAAATTTAACACCACAAGGTAATGAGAATGCCGTTGTTTTCTGTGCATTTTTTTGTAGTACTTGTCTCTGTGTTGACCAACAAAATAACAATAGTCTTCACAAAGAGAACAAAATGTACTTTGCTGTACATTTCAGTGTACATCCCACTTTTCAGTGAAGGCTTCCATGTGGCTTAAGCCTTCTAGACCTTGCCTTCGCTGAGAAAGTTAATTTAGTACTAGTGTGCCACTTGAACTGCATTGGCACAAGAATAGGCACTCCACAAAAAAAAACACATTGAGTGGAACATGGTAATTTGATTAGCACTAAAGAGCGACTGGATCAAAACTGCTTAACTTATAATTCAATCTGCCAAATCCCTGCTGCACTGCCAGGACCAACAGAACAAGTAATTGACCATCAGCATCTCCTCTAATACCAAGCAGGGTTCAGCTGCACTAAACACTTGGCTACAGGTATTTGAGAGTCTCTCTAGACACCAGAATAAAGACTCATTTGTAGTGTATCAGCAGAGGTAGCCATGCTAGGTTTATACTGTTAAGAGTAGTAGGACATAGTAGCAGAGCTCCAGGAAGGGCTGGCAACAAAGGCCCCATTACCTGCCCTGGTCTGGACCACTCTATGTTCACCACTGCTGTTGCCTTCTGGAACTATGTTAAAGATCTGCCTTTCTCCGCTGTCCAATTCTTTTTTACTAACCCTTTGGATGGGATAAGTAGGAGTAGATAGCAAGCCTTGCTCAAGCTTGATGCCTGGTTTAACTTCATGAGCATGTACCTAAAATAATACAATGATAAATCATTCCTTGTGGTGTCAGGCTAGAGGAGCTATTAGGTGAATTCCACTTGCATCATCAGTAGTCTTTGGCAAGCAGTTCCCAGGTCCATGCCCAGCCACATACCCTGTGATCTAGTGCAAAAGGTAGATGGACTGCAGCTGGGGAACCACCGCCCTGTGGTCTACACATGTGGTTTAAATGAGCTCTTGCGTGTAGCCCCTCTCTTACTTAAGTGCCTTTCATCCGTTGTTCTTAAATGTATTTTCCCTTAATTAAGCGAGAGTTTTGCAAAAGAGACCTGCAGCCCAGCAGTTCATAGCCACAGAGGGGCCTGAGGCAGTCTCCTACTAAAAAAAAAAGAAAAGGTGGTAATTATGTAAAAAAGCACCTCCCCGCTGTCTGATCCAGCACATTCCTCAGTGCTCTTGAAATTCAAGGTTAGTCCTCTGAGCCCAACGTGTTCAGCTCGAGGTAGCCAACACTCAGCTCTTCTCACTGGCTCCTCTTCTGGGCAGAGATGGGTATAGCAGTTATCTCACCGGAAAAAAAAACCCCGAACCAACCCACCCAAAACAGCTGAGCAGCTGACCTGGAGGTGGGAATGATGGAATGACGGATTTCGTTGTCTTTGGCTCTGAAAAATGAAGTGGAACGATATTGGCAATTATATTCTTATGTGGGTGTTGTTTTAATTTTGTCATTCTAAAAAAAGGTGAATGTAATAAAGAGCGTGGGCTTGCATTCCCTTCAATCTTACTTCTTCTAATCTGTAAAACTGTGTTTAGGTTAAATGGAAAGTTTCAGTATTGCAGCAAGATTTAATAAAGCCTTGAAGTAAATTTTGTATGTACTCTATGTTTAGGAACAAATTAAAATAGTTTTGGTGCCAGAGTTCCTCAGCCAATTAAAAATATTTCTTTTGCCCGTTGCTGGAAGAAAAAATCCACAAAAATAAGGAGCCTGAGTATACTTGAGAAATTACAGGCAAAGAGACTTAAATGATCTTTTGTTTTAATCCAAAGGGCTAACACTTGACATAGTAAAACTACCCTTCTTCTGTCAAGCCTCCTTTAGTTACAGTCATCTTGCTTGGAACAATAGTAGTTTAAAAAAATTACTCTGAATGAAGTGTGATTTTGAAGTTGACCGAATCAGAAACTTTCTTCCTGTTTTGCTTTCTCCAGTGAAATTTCATCCACTGTTGGCATTCATGACCTGCACATGTGACAAAGTATTAATGTGAACCAGCTATTCTCTATCTTCTCTTATGCAATACATTATGCAATACGAAGGCTATGCCATAATTTTGATGCATGTGATTTTATTCCATAACCTAAATGCTTTTCAAAGCAAACTATTCATCACAGTTTTACTGCACATTACCATGTTGCAGTTACAGTGCCATATAATGACATTAAAAATCCTTTTTTTTTTTGTCTGCCACAGTTTCTTCTTCTTCCTTGGCGTTTCTCAAATCTAGGCTTCTGCTACAGTGTTCACTTTTGCTTCTTAGCGCTGGAAGGCAGTGAAACTAAGTGTTTCAAGAGTGTACACTTGAGAAATCAGAGTAGCTTTGCAGATACTCTGCAATACTCTGCAGATACTCTTCCAATTTAATGGGAAACTTGTTCTAATTTATTTTCTTTAATTATTATTTTATCTTCAGTGAGGTTTTGTACTTGCAAGTATCCCTGGAACTCCAGTCCATCATGTAATCATTGTAACCACCCCCAGGATCTACGGGCAGTTTAGGTCTTCAGACTCTGTAGCAGGTGATCCATCAGATAGGGTGGAATGGTAAATCCTGCCGAAACCTCTGACAGGGTAGTCTCTCCACAAGCAGGGGCCATGGGAATTGAAAAAAGAGTAAGAATTACAAGTCTTACAGTGTTCAAAACTAAACATCCCTCTTTGTGCTCTCCTGGTTTACAGTTTGCTAGTTCTGCAAGAAGACAATCCGCACAATAGCCAAGACCCCTGAGCAAAGTATGAGCTCTAACTAGCAAAACAGGGGCTCTAAGGGCTAGTGAAAGAGGCAGCCAGACTGTATAAGAAAGGCTGAATCCACAGATGATGAATTTGTCTGACTTTTCTTATAGCTTGAGAAAATATTAACAACCCTGCACCATGAAACTAGAGTTTAGCATGTGCTTCTTTTTCAGATTGAAACCTACGTTTCCCTTTCACCCACCCATCCACCCCCATCCTAACTACTAGAAAAGAAAGCATAACTTTCTTTCCCTTCTTTCACCATTCTGTTGAGCTACATTAGCAAATGTATTCTATCCATGTGAAAGTTAAACAGTGAATCAGTAGGACATATCACTGGTTTGTTACTGTGTTTTTAATGACCAAAGTACAATTTTCAATTATATTAGAAACCTTTTTTAGTCTAGCACTCGTTGTATTGTTTGTATCTAATCAACTATTATAGTTATTATTAGCATATCTATTTATCTATGTACATTCCCCAAACATAATCCATTCAGATAATGTCAATTAACAGGAACATGATAAAAGGACATTTAAAATAACTCAAACACTGAATTTTATCAGACATGAGACTCAGTTATTGTTCATGCACTATTTCAAACTGTATCAAGCCATAATGGCAGATTCTTGGGGGCAGAGGAAAATAATTCCTTACTTCATTTTTTATGTCACCTTCATGGCTATTCTTGCAATGTTTCTTTACACAACAAATTTGTGAAGTATCAAATAGTGAGCAAGCATTGCAGAAACTCTGATATATGCTGATATCAGCATTGTGTTCTTTCATTTTCTGTGTCTTTAGTCATTGCTCAGGATGCCTCATTTATCTTTTTTCTCTCTAAAGCTTTAGGGAATTCTGTGCTTCACAGCAGTGTCATAACACTTCTAAAGCAAGCACCGAAGCAAGGGTACTGCTTTAATGAAGGGGAGCTGTTTGATAAAGGTGGGCGGAGGGAAGTGTGAAAAAGATGGTGATGCTGTGTTTGTGACTGAATCTGTTAGTGATGCTGTGCAGCAGTCAGCCTGCCCTGCTTGCTGTTCACTGCTCACAGGCTGATGAAAATCAATCACTCTCACAGCAGGTCCAGTCCTGCTCCTCTCTACATCAAAGTACACACACACAAAAAAAAAAAAGGGAGAAAAATACTACTCACTTCAGCCAAGGCAGGAGCAGACTTACAGTCCAGCATAAACAACTTCCTCATGTCCTTCAAAAGCACAGCCTGGTCCAAATGCAAAGCATTAGTTTGTTCCGGTGTCATTTATTCTGTCTCTGGTACTGGAAGGTGTTTGTAATTTCTGAAAGGCGTTGAGCATTCCTGAAGGATAATGAGTGCTCTCCACAGCCACTGATGGCAGGGAAAGTGAGAGCACTCAGCCCCTCACAGCACGGCTCAACACCTCACAGAATCGAGGTCTTGATAAGGCAGGAGTCCTAAAAAGAAAAGGAACATGTGATTGTTTGGCTGAAGGGAGCAGTATAAATACAGAGTAACCTCCTCAGACCACTTCTCTCCTTGCAAAATACTCATCATGAAGAGTGACTGTCATGTTGTGCACATTACAGAGCTCTCCATGTGCAACTCAAATGGCTCCTCTCATAGTCTGTGGGGACCAGGACCAACGGCACAAAGTTGAAACCTAACACACGCTGGCAATCTGCAACTGATGCATGGCCTACCATAGGAGTTTGTGAGTAGTGAAAGTGTTTACTGATGGTGTAAGCATGCTGGTATTAAAAAAGACTTAAAACAAAGCTCTTTACCTGAATTACCTCTGCTACACATGTTCAAAGTTTTCACACTAATGTAGTTTCAGTGTAATTACAGTCTAATGAAAAAATACCTGGTGTGAACAAGCTCATGGGGACCATGCCAGATGGCACAGGTCAGAGCAGCTCTCATGTTGATCAAATCCATGTCCATGGCTGGGCAGAGAATCAGTGAGCTGTAGCTGCCTCACAGATAGTGCTAGATCTTTTGCTGTGCTTGATCTGAAGCAAAATGCTTGAGGGAATCTACTTCATGTTTATCAGACATCTTGGAAGGCTGATGAGTGTCTTAAATTTCCACATGAGAAGGAAGAAGAGATCTGAGTGTATTTGAAAACTGATATAAACTACAAGAGGTTTTGATTTCCTTGCATCCGTGTGATACTACCTAAAGGCAGACACCCTAATAGGACTGTCACAAATTGTCGATAGCTCCATCACAAAACACCAGACTCTCCACACTGTTGAGGTACACAATAATTCAACAGGTAGCCTCAAACAAAGCAGAATGGAGATTAATAGTTCAACTGTCTTTGAGATGTGACAAAACTTGTTTTAGAAGTACTTCAAATATATATATATACATATATATATTTGTATGACACTTCTTTCTCTGGGGAACATTTTGCTCTTCATTGACCTCTGATACCAATGCAGTGGTTCTGCTGTTTCAGTCCTGAAGCTAGTCTCTTAAAAATATTTGTTCTGTATTCTTGCTCTCCGAAAACAACTTCCCCTGCTTTTACATCTCTCCACGAACTATTAACTGCCACTGATAGCTGGAAAGGAAAGATGTTACTGTGTGGGAACACAAGCAACATCATGCTAAAAAAACAGACAGTGACATGTAGGAGTGATGTCTTTCTCCTCAGACAACTCCTCAGCTGCCTTAGGTAGATAAGACAAAGCCTCAGGAAACAGGTATGTTTAGATACAGCCGTAGCTTCAAAACTTTCAGCTACACAAAGATTAAGGAGACAGATTGTCTACAGCAGCGCCAGTATAAAGGGCAAATTATTAAAACTTTCTGATGAGTCAGATTCATTTCCTGTAGTTAGCTCCACCCTCTTTGGGATGCAGTGCTTAGCTGCTTCTGGTGCTTGTGACCTGAACCATGAGGTGTTTACTCCCAGCACCTTGTAGCCCCATCAGTAGCTTCTTAAGTGTGGCTGGAGACAGGCACACAAATGAGCACTGTCAGGACCCAAATCTGCAAACACTTCAGCTGAGAAGCAGTACTTAGTCCCATGAACAGTCCCACTGACATTTTACATTGCACACAGTGCTAAGAGTCTGAAGGATCAGGCTCTTAATGATTATGTGACTACAGGTACAGAAGTTAAGATTCAAAACAACACAGGTCATGGAAATGCAGGTCATTCTGGTCTCTCCTAAAGTACTAAAATTCCACAGATCAAACATCAGTACCTAAAATTAGATCCACAATCAAGTGACAGAGATTACACAACATTCATTACAAGGTTTGCCAGGATTTTGAAGCAGAAAAGATACAGAAAGAAATATAGATCCACTCATTAGGATTTCTAACATTGCAGTGAGTAAATTACTTTTTGAACACTTCCTGCATTATAGGGAATATGTAATCTCAGGGGAACCAAACAGTCCCTGAGCAACTTACACTTCTGGCAGCAGCCCAAGATACCATGAGGTACAAATCACACAAATGTCTGAGTTTGTGTAAATTCTGTCCTCAGCATCTGCATGAGCTTTCTTTCTAATCTAAAAAAAAAGCCTAACTAATGCTTTGTTTCTTTGCCCAAAATTCAAACATCATATATGTTAGCTTACACACCATACAAGTTATGTTTATTGCTTGAATCTGAATCTTTTGTGGCCCCTCACTGTATCAGGTATGTAACATCACACATGGTAGATTGTATTGACAGTTAACTGAAATATAAAACCAACAAAAAGGAGGACGATCACAATGCTGTGATGTTTTCTTCTTTATGAAGCTATTATTTACCTCCTTAAAGAGCCTGAAGTTCTGCTAAAATTTAGGCATTAATACTATGCAGTTGTTATCAAGGACTAGAAATGTGATTATTTGGCCATTATAACAGACTATAAATATTGAAAGCATTAAACCCCAGAGACGGTTAAGGTAATCCAGGAAAGTAGCATTAGAACTACTGGGGTGAATTGTGGAATGAAAAGTCAAAAAGTTAGAATATATTTAAATGTGGAATGATCTCCAATAAGATAGAACTGATACTGCATTCCTTAACATAGTTTCAGTGATGATCCCAAAAGAGCATTCAAAATTTACCAAGTTAAAACACCTAAGATGAGAGACATATTAGAACATAAAACTGATTACTTGCTCAAACAGTAATAAACAGAGTCCATCACCATGATGCTAAGAACAATGAATTCATCATTTTCAGAAAATGGTATAGTTGGAAATAATTTGGTTCAGAAAAAAACAACCCACATTGGTTTACATCTCTTAATTTTCACACCCTGAATACTGGCACTTTCTTGGTCATCCACCCCTCCTGTTTCAAAATCAAGACATATAGCCTCTTTAGCACCTGTATAACTGGTAACACCTGTACATCATGCCAGGATATTAAGCTGTTTGTATCATTTTATCAATGCTGTTGAGATCTTTGTGCAGGAGAGAGAAGTAACCACCGGCTGTGGTGTGGTTCCTGACCTGCTTGTTAGCAGCTCAGCTAACTCAGCTGGCTGGTTCAGAGTTTTAAAAATGCAGGCTGACAACAACATGCTCTAAATGTTGGACTAAGCAATTTCAGAGTACTTATTTAGCTTACTGTCTTGATTCCTTTCTCTTTCTAGTTTGCTTAGTAAGAATGAAATATTTTTGCCTTTAAACAGCTGATCATGGATTTATCTATCCTATATTGTACTATCTATATTTATCTTATGTTTGGTCATGGATTTATGCCATGCATGCCCCACTTGTCCATAGGACGCTCTTAGTCTGAGCACATGATATTGGGATGCTAGAATCCTAATATGATCCTAACTACTTTTTGCTTGAGTCTTATTAAACCCTTCCAAAGCAAAAAATTATATAAAGTAACTTTCCTTGTTACATCCTCTGTTACCACTCAGAAATTCATGCTGTGGAATTTGAGAACATCGCCATAGAGTCACAGAATAGTTTGGGTTGGAAGGGACCCTTAAAGGTCATCTAAGTCTGACGCCCGCTGCAGTGGGCAGGGACATTCTTGCTCAGGATCTGTAGATGTCCCTAAATGCTTCCCTTCAAAGGGAATACTGTGCATCCAGGATTTGAGAGGATCCACATAAATTTCTTCAGTGTTCCAGGTGCTATAACAAGAGATGAGTAGGAAGTATAAACATACCCGCTCCAAAGAAAAGTAGGAGAAAGGTAGCTCTCAAATTTTTTGGAGCATTGTGAATTTAGGAGGAGGATGGAATACTGAGGCAGCAGGTCAAAAAAAAAAAAAAACCACCAAAAAAAGAAAAAAAGGTTATTGAAACCCTTACAAAAAGTTTTGTTGTTTTTTTTTTCTATTCAGAGAATGCGGTTTTTCGTGGTATGAATAAACATCACCCCTGACACTATGTGGTGGATATCTATCAGGACAGAAGACTGCTGAAGGCAGACCACTGCACCTTTTCATGGTGTCATGAGAAAGGAATAAGAAGATCTTAGCTGAGCACAAGTAACCCACATTTCCTCCAGCAGCATCGGTTTTTAGCTTCCAGTCTAAAAATTATGCATTTTTGTTCTTCACACTCACCCATGTGAAGTTGTCGCACTAACCCGTTCAACCCTGTCCCTTCTCTGTGGTCCTCAGCAAGCAGTTCATATCTTACTCAGCTTATTGAGACACCCAGTATGTCTCTCTTAGCCATCTATGGACTGTTTTCGTACCTGAATCCCAGATTGCACAATGGGTATGATTGCTGCGTACCTAATGTTTGTTATAAAACCTGTGACAGCATTTTTTCCTCACCGGTCTACAAGAGGAAATAGCATTTTATTTGAAATGCTATGCTGAGTGTCAACATGAGAGGTGTTTTAAAATTGCTGAGAAGTATGCTGTCAGGAAAATGTTTCCAGGCCTACCTTAACTCCCACATCCAACTGTGTTGAAATAATCAAATGCTACACCACTTGTACTCAGGAAGAGGATGACTAACAACAGCTAATTACTGCTCAATCTGTTGCCTTCAGCAGCTATCAGTCTGAATCACTTCTGCTGGCATGGTGGGGCATTTTACAGGACCATGCTCTGGGGGCAACTTCAGTTTCGGGGTATTCCTTGGGAGGCAGTAACTGGGACAAGGACTCCATATATTAAGATCCTACCGCAGAGGCTGCTGCCACCAGATTTGACTCAGCAGATGGCCTAAAGACCCTGGCTCTGAGCCTTTCTAGATTAGCCATGTCCTGCTGGGGTCCCTGGACCAGCCCGTGTCATACTGCATGGAAAGGAGAAGGTGGTAACGCATTTCTTCCTGCTCCATCCCTCTGCAGGAAAGACTGAACCTAGCTTGGTGGTACTGGATATTAGTTTCTGCTTTCCTCCCAGTTTGCTGCTGCAGTAGCAGTGAGTTGGCAGAGGGCCTTCTGTATCATATTTGATCTGTTGACACTTGCAGCAGTGCTGGACTCTGACACTGTAGGAGTTTCCGTCTGTAGAAATATGGTAGCCCTTCCTGCCTCCTCATTCCACTCCCTGCGGAAAACCTCCCTCTTGTTTTCCCAAATTCTGGGCCAAATAAAATACACCAAAATAACACTGGAGACAGAGAAGGAATCTCTTGCATCAAATCTGGCCTCAGAGCAATACATGCAGCCATTACTTGTCTCAAAAGTGGAGTCACGTGGGTGGAATACAGGCAGAGTTTCATCAGCAGGGATTGCAGGTTCACCCTTGCTGCTATACAAACAGATATCCTCCTTTGTGGTGGCCAGAATGACCACTTTTGTCTGTTTTCACGCTACATTGAGTTCATGGGAGTTCAGGCATGCTCTTCAGCTGGCTAACTTAAAACTCTCTAGGAAAGAAAGCGACAAAAGGTCTTGAAATGTGGTGGTAGCTGCCTGCTGGCCGAAGTGCTGTGACATTTCACCATTGCATGGAGAAAAGGCAGGAAAGCAATACTTTCATCAGAGTTGTTCGAGATCCTGCCTCACTCTTAAAACTTTTTATTACTTCAGAATGTTCTCCTGAGTAATCACGTAATTCTGCTGCACTTGTATAATGTATTCAACACCTGACATGTGAGCCAGAGAGTGGCTTTCTATAGCATAAGCCACCCCCAACAAAGCAATAATCCTGTCAATGCAGAGCACAGCTTTTTTTATAGGAAGCCTCTTGCATTTGGGGCAGCAAGGCCCTACACAGAGATACTACAGAGCATCCTTTCTTATTGTTACTCAGTGTCATTCCAGGCTCAAGCCATTACATCATCTCACTCAAAGAAGCTGAGATTTGGCCTGGAGCTGATTATGTGGTATAGTACTGTTCTTTACCTTTATAGTTACTGTTCTTTACTTAGAAATAAGATGAGCATTATTATATAAGCTTCTGTTGTCACTGTCTCAACTGCTGACGTAATTCTTCACAGTGAGATCAACGGTGAAGCCCATTTAAGACAGACAGAGGGGGTTTCTCTAAAATGCAACTTCTCTGCCTGTTTCTGCTGAGATTTGTGTTTGAAAACCATATTACTAAGCAAAGCTTTATTTAATTTACCCTGTCTTATGTGAATTTGCATCCTTGTGTGCAGTCAGCCTCAAGACAGTATGTTTAGTGATAATAAATAGTCACATACAGTGTGCTGTAACTTCAGCTGGTTTTAGGGAATTTTAGTCTCTTCCTTATGCCTCTTGTTCTTCCAAAGGCCATATGGCTCTTCAAAGCCACTTATGTACCAGGTAGGTGGAATGCAAGCGTTGGAAGTAGCACTGTTCTGAGTGAATTTCCATTTCAGGTATAGACTGAGACCAGGATTACTGACTGGTTGTGGACACTCCTAGGATACCTGAACTAAAAGGCCAAAAGGGTTCATCACCACAGTCTGAGTGGACACCCTATTTAACCCTAGCTGTAGAATGACACCTGATCTTTCACTTCCATATGATAAGCCTCACTGGTCGAAACATCTTGGCATCATAGAGGTGTTCAGTATCTAAACAAAGTCCTGAGGATGCTCTTCTTCAATTTGTCTCCAGCGATCCATGGGTGTTGTCAAGTCAGCTAGTCCAGGCAGCAAGGTAATATATACCAGGTGAAGTACTCAGCCTCCATTTTCTTTCTCCTATGTTCCTCTCCTCATCTAGTACTGGTTTACTGTTTTCAGTGGATGCAAACTGCTTGTCAAATGTAGATATGAAATTTGCTATCCTAGAAAGAAGTTCTCCCTAATGGCCTAGCAGCCTTACAGTGGCAGCATTACTTGGCAGATGTTCAGGAAAGAACTTCCTGTCGCAAGCTAGGCTTTCACACTTGACCGAAATATGAAAACATTTAAGTGCTGATCATGAGACCCTAACTCATGGACTTAGCAGTTACAACAACAATAATAGAATGCTCAGAGAGTCCAGCACTAGTACCCCTTTCCTGCTATACAAGTCCTCCTTCTCTTACCAAACTTCCTCCGTGTGAATTCCAGGTTTCCTCAAATCATTACTGACAAACAGCCTTGCTCTGGCTTTTGTATCCTGCTCCCCAAATTCTTTGGATTTTTCCTATAGATGTAATGGCTGAGATTTTTCACTTTTTTTGTTGCTTTTTATCACATTCCCTTGCTCTTGCACCCAGCTCTTCCTGGTTACCTGGTTCTCCAACTCGCTCTGCCTTTCCATCCTGCCATACCCTGTTGGGTGTCACCACCACCTGCCCTCTCCTCTGAGCCTGCAAAGCCTCATCAGTGGAGACCTTTAAGAACAGGTTAGATGCTCACTTACCAGAAATAGCATAAGTACAGTTCATTCTGCCTTTGGGCAGGAAACCAATTAAAAAACTTACAGAGGCCCTTTCCAGACCTGCATCTTTCTGATCCTATTATCCTTTGCATTAGTGGGAAAGCAGTAATGGAGACACACTTGGCACAAATGTTTCCAAGCGATTGTTATCTTGGGCTGTTGGACTTGCAGATGGAGCTCCACTTTCGGCTGCCTGCAGGGGTAGCAAAGTGGTAACTAGTACCAGGACTCAGGCTTGCTGTTCCAGCTTCAGTGATGACTTAAACATCTGAGCTTCTTCTCTTCATAAAGTTATCAAATTACTTTCATTTTCAGCTGTTCTACGTTTCCAAGTAGATGTTTTGTATTATAATAGGGGTCTTTCCCTTGAACTTCCCCGTTAGTCATCAGCTATTCCCTTCCACTTTTATTTTAGATCTTTTGAGGCAAATGTGACTCTTGTGCAACCCCCACAGAGATCAATTGGGCTGCGGATACGTAACTGAGAACAGTTTCATTCTTTTTGTCATGTTGTGTGTGGGGTTTCTTCCTCATTGTGATGCTATTCTGACTATATTAGCATTTGTCTTCTCTGGTAATTCTGCAGGTAATGTAGGCAGCATACAGCACACCACAGTATGTACTGCAGCCATTTTGAGTAGAACTAATTCCTCCAATCAGCAATGAATTTGCTGTCAGGTGTGCAGGTAGGTAATCCAACCCTTCCAAAATTATTACATTTTGGAATTTAAAATATTAAATTTAAAATATTAAATTCCAAAATACATTCGGTTTTTTCTTGCATTAAATTCCTTGGTAAACTGGTTTATAAAGAGTGAAAAAAAAAATTGCTTTACCTCATATAAAAAGAATGAATACTCCATTATACACATCCAGCTCCAAATTGCCGTTATCTGTTCAGAACAATTAGCCTATTATACATCCTCTTAAAACCTGATGCCGGCTCATCATCTTAAAGCCTGAAGTATAAAGCCATCCATTAACTTCCTTATACTTTGGATCAGCCCGCAAAAATAGCTTAGTGTTCCAGCATCCTTCGCAATAGGGTTGCTCATTATTAGCTATCAGCTTTTGTGCTAACAGTTCCACACTGAGTATGAAAAAGAAGTCAAAGGGTTTGCCTGTGGTTTTCTATTATTTTAAGCACTCTGGACTGAACTTACATCAATATTGTTATTGGTGTACTTAAAATAATAGTGAAAAGAATAGATGACTGGAAAAAAGGTGAGGTGGCTTGGGGAGGAGAAGGAAATGCCGATGCTGCTGGAAAAACAATTTAAAAAGATACCAAAACCCAGCAGTGAGGCAGGTTTTGTGACAGGCACCACTGACTTCTATGGATTTGCTCTTAAATTATAGAATCAAATTATGCAATCAATCCTAACTATTTTACGGTTGGAAAGGACCTTAAGATCATCAAGTTCCAACCCCCCTGCCATGGGCAGGGACACCTCCCACTAAACCATGTCACCCAAGGCTCTGTTCAACCTGGCCTTGAACACTGCCAGGGATGGAGCATTCACAACCTCCCTGGGCAACCCATTCCAGTGCCTCACGACCCTTACAGTAAAGAATTTCCTCCTTATATCAGTTTTAACCCGTTGCCCCTTGCCCTATCACTACAGTCCCTAAATTGTGCTAGAAGAACTGAGGAAAGAGCAGAAATTTTATAAAGGTAGAAACCAGTTATACTAAAAAATAGTCAAACAAAAGGGATCTTTGAAACGATCAGAAGATTTTAGAAGTCTGATACAGACAGTCCAAAGCTTAAGAGCCTTTTAGGCTTGTTTAACCCTCCGAAGTAAATCCACAAGGCTCAGTGGGAAAAGAACTCACAGAAGACTTTTTCAAAACCAAGGATCTGACTAGTGTATAGTTTCCTTAGAAACTTAGGTTGCCCCTACACCAGTTTGGTTGGCCAGTCTGTTAACCTTTAAAGTATTCATGGGTCTCAGCAATTAATTTCTTTTCTTTTTGGTTATTCCTTGAAAGTACTTCTGAGTAGCCTTTAGTCTGAGAGGGAATTTGTAAGTGTAAAATATGATTTGTTTTATTATATGTTCTCCAGTTTGCTTCCTTGTGTTCCTTTCCTGTGATTCAGTTTTCCAGTTGTTTTTGTTATCCATTGGCTGTTATGCTAGAATACAGGAGCATCTTGGATAGGCACATACATTTAGGCAGGGACAAAAAAAAAAAAAGAAGAGAATAAAATCTTGTGGTGTGAATGGAATTTCTCTTTTTCCCCCCATCGCTTCCAGAGACAAGCTAATTGTTATCACACCCTGCCCCACACGTGCGACAGCACATAGCAGGCTGCCCATGCCAACAAAGATGCAACTCCATCTCTCAGCACTGCTGATAGCCCTGTTTCTGTCTGGGTACAGAGTCCCTCTCCATGTCTACTTTAGGGGTATTGAAAGGTAAATTGCAACTTTCTTTTTTATGTAGGGGCTGGCAGAAGGACATGCTGTCCTTCTCCCCCTGCTGCTGCTCATAGCAGGTCATGCTGGCCCTCTAAGAAACTGGCAGAAGCAGCTGGTCCAGCTCTGTATTGAAAAATGCGCAGGTGCTGGGAATTCGCCCAGATGAGAGATGCAAATAGGGAGGGGTAGATGCAGTGCTTTGGTAGGGGATGGACACAGACACCCATCCAACAGTCCAACACAAAGGCAGCCCTTCCCTTGCAGTATTCGACAGGCACTTCTGCCTGGGCAGAAGCACAACAGGGATTTTTTCCTATTTGGTAGGTTGAATTGTTCCTTTCCTTTGATTCATTAGGGGGAAAAAAGCTTAAATTGAGACCCTTTAGGCAAGTGCCTGTGGTGTTCATTATCATAGGCTGGCAGAAGGCAAGGCTGTCCTGTGACAGTAAAGAGCAGGAACTTCCTTCTCTCAACATCACTCCATCCAGGAGGCTTGTAAAGCTTTCTGCATCCTTCCCTCCCTTTTCTCCCTCATGAGTGAGGGATGCAAACTGCCATTAGTCCTCAGTGGTGAGGGAAAACATCTGGTTGTGATGTTTCAAATCAGGAAACAGGTAGTGTTCCCAGAGCCTCTGTCTGCAGGTGACCAGGATAAAATACCAGTTTCTAAGCTGCTGTTTTCATTTAGATGGCTGGGGATGCCTGACAGGAAAAAATTTCTAAACTAGTTTTCAAGGAAGAAGAACTGCTCCTGAAACAGTGATTCTACTATAAAGAGAAGAAAAAAATGTGAGTCAGGATGAAGCCTTATAAATAGTGGCTTTTGGAAATCCTGTTTCAGGCATCTGTGAACAAGATGGTTACCTTATCACGCTAACTCATACCCCCCAATACACTTTGCGTTTGCTGTGGATTATATGGTGGGAAAGACTACAATTCTCCTTTGCCTGTTTGGATAATGGTGACCTTCTAATGACTACATGATGGGCCGTCACAGATGCCTGATATAATCAGGTACCACGCTCAGCATTTCCACAAGACTGGTGATATTTGTGAGAAATGTTTTTGTTATCATATTTCTTGGCTTCCACACTACAGGCTTTATTGTAAAAAGTATAATAAAACAAAACACCCTTTATATTAGTTAATGGGCATATAAAGAGCACAAAATGATTTTCCTTTGGGAGCAATTTTTTTTTTTTTCTAGCATAATGATAGATTTTACTAGGAAAAAATTCTGTTTATTCCAAAATAAACTGCTAGCATTCAAAGCTGTTTCTGTGGATTTCTATCTATTATAATCTAATCAGAACTATTTTTAGGACACCAGTGAATAATAATACTACACAGCACTGATCTCTGAGACAATTTGAGACTCCCAGTTGAGTTTCTGCTAGAGAAGCGTATCATAAAAAGCACCATCACAAATTTGCCCCTTTGTTAGAGAAGCTGCCAGACAGATCAAGGACTTAGAGGGCCTCCCATTTGAAGTCTCTTCAGTTTGAAGATGTACTGTCAGGGATCAGTATGGAGAAGGCTTTTGTTCTGCTGCTGGAGTAAGTGTTTGTAGATGAAAGGAGAACGCCTGTGCCTGGGCCATCAACCTGACATTTTTCAAGACATGAAATTCACTTAGAACGAAGCATGGGATGGTGGACTGAAAAATAACATCCATTTATTTTTCCTTTGCTTACTACCTTGAGGAGCATCCCCACGACTTTGTAAAGGACTAATGATACGTAATTAACCTTCTGGAATGGAGAATTTACAGCAGAAAGAGCAAACATTTGAAATTGCACAAGCAGAGTGAAAAGTTCAGGGGTACATTATAGTCTCTGGGGATGTTTCCATTACCTTCAGTGCATTTCAGTCAAATCCTTAAAACCTCTGGAGCACAGGTATTTGATGACCTGTCACTAAGATCCATGTCACAGAACCATTACCCTAATAGACTTTTTAAAATATTAACGCAGGTATGATGTTGTCTCTTATTCCTTGAGCAACCCCTTCAGGTCCCAGATGAAATACTGGTAAGACAGTGAAAAGTGGAAGTGTTTTTAAAGCCACTGTACTTATTTTAGGTTTTAATGTCTTTGACACCTTTTGCTTATGCAATAGAAAACCTTTTTTAAATGCACTTTCTTTTGTAACACTGAAAAATTGAGTACGAAAAGGTGAAAAGAGGAGAAAAGGTGGCTCAGTGTAAGTCTTCAGCTTCTGTTATTAGATTCTAAACACTCCTGGCCTTTTCGGTTGACCCATCATCTAAAGCCCATGTGTACTCCTGCCAAGGACTGACTGACTATTCTGTATCTTCTGCCCAAAGATCTCCAAGTACCTAGTGAAATTCACCACGTGCTTATTTACTCTATACATAAGAATATTTTGCTCACCACTGCAGTTCAGCCACCTCTGGGATGAAAGTCTGTTTTAGGTAAAGAATGCATATTACTCAAGGGATCTAAGAATAAAGTACTCAATATCATGTTCTTAATAAAACTAAGAGGGACTTTTAGACATAATTTAATTGATTACCCATGGAGGATAAGAGAGATTTACAAAGAAAGCGATATAGGATTTTAACTGACACAATTAGTTAAGTCCCTGGTTTTACTGCTGAGCTGAAAGCCACCCCCATATAGAACACTCTGCGTGCAGAATAACAGTTTAGAGATTGGCTTAGGGGAAAGTACTGCCAAGACTGTTTTCTAATATTTTTTAGGACAGGAGGGACTAACCTTGTCTGTATTTTGAGTACCTCATAAGAAGAATTTGTGCCTAGATAAACAGCCATAATAAACGACCATACTGATGCAATCATACCAGTATGAGTCTACATAAGGTCTCTGCTTTCTGCCAGAAGATCTTGAATCAGTTATGGATCCCTGGGAAGCAAGGGTGCTATCAAGGACAGCACCTTTTCCCCCTCTCTTCTATCTTGGCAGCCCTTGCTTCATGGCGCAACCAAGATGGACACACTGTTACTTGGAAGTACCAATACCTTTATTCATGCACATGTAGTGAAGGGTTGGATCTTGCTCCGGGTGCTTGATTTCAGTTCTTGTGCAGCAGAAAGTGGATACTCATGATTAGTACCAGCGTTAACATAAGGTATATTTCTGGCATCAAGTGATTAACTCCAAATATACTGCGGTATAAATGAGAACATAACATAGCTCTAAAGTACTAAACTTACTGCTACAGCCTGCATGACTGTCAATGCTTTAAGAAATGTTTCAAAACATTTATCATCACAAAAGACTAGTTTAGCAACAGCTCACTCTTACAAACTGAAAATTAATTTTTGATGGGATACATACTAGAATGCTGATGCTCTCTGGCCGCTTTTTTTCCATCCACTCATTTCCCTTATCTGCAGCCTAGTCTTCAGTGGCAATAGCAATTTCAACATGGGAGAAAACAATTCCCTGGTAATTTCAATATGGGAGAAAACATTTCCCTGGTAATTTCGACATGGGAGAAAGCAATTCTGTATAGCTTCCATAGCCAGTGAAGATGCCTCAGATCTTTTAAGCAGATGACTTTGTGAGTAGTTTTCTATACCCTGGCTATAGTATCCAGATCTCAGGTTCAAGTACAAAATAATGCAGGTGATCATATAGAGCCTTGGCTTCCCTGTTCATGCAAGACTTGGCTGTGCAGGGTGAAGAGCATATGGGTTGCTGGTCACATTACTCATCCAACGCTCAGCACTTTGTTTAATGCTTCACTGTTTAAGATCAGAGTGTCCATCACTCTGCAGATTTGAACCTGTTCTTCCTACCACATGAAAGAATCCTGGATACTGGGGCAGATTTGGATCTCCCACCAGTTTTAACTGGCATAAACTATGTGATAACTGGCATGAACTACATGTAATAACTATGTTACTTAAGGTCTCCAAGCATCTGATTGCTGAGTTTGTCTGTAGTGAAAGAGCAGCAAAGCTCATAATACTTTGAAACCAATAGGTAATATAGTGATTGAAATACTATAAAAGTGATTGGAAACCCTGACTTTGTACAAAACATGTCACCAATGTTGTATGTTAAGCATCAATAATTGTGCAAGCTGATGCTAAGCATAGCACAATGATCCTGGAAAGGAGCTACTGTAACAGAAGTACTTATGCTAGGAAGGATTTATAACTTCATTTCCCAGTGGTAATCAGAAACAGTCCTGTGCAAATAAATGCAGCTATACTAGTGTTAAAGCCCAGAATTCAGACTATGGGGCAAAAAGTACAGATCATGTGTTGTTTAGTGAATCCCTGCAATCTATTTTTTTTTGCTGTATTCCCTCCTCTCACAAGCACATCTGGTGTTTTAGGAACATTGTATTCAACAGTGGTAAAAGGACACTAGGGCCAAGAATAACAAATGAAAAGTGAAAACACTTGGGCCTAATGCTGATCTCATATGGGTGTAAATCAGAGGGATTCCAGCAAATCCTTTGGAACTACACCAGTGGAATACTTGTGTCTGATTCAGAATCAAAACTGTAGAGACCAATGATTTTAGTCAACGAAGACTCTCTGTCAGGCCTGAAATTCTCCCATTCCACTGGGAAATTTTACTGCAAAACATCTTTAAAAGAGCTTCTCAGAAATATCACAAATGCTGAGGAAGAGACAAAGGTAATACAAAAACACCTTAGTAGCTCTTGTGTCTAAGCTAAAATACCTGTCCAACCAGATTAAGCAGAAGTTTTTTATTTGCAATTTGCAGTGCAAAAAGGGAGTTTGACAGTAAGTAAGTATATATTTTGCACATAGTTACTGGATTAGTAAAGAAAGTCTTCCCACCGGCTGCAGGGTGGGTTGTCCTCAGTAAGGTGACCTTCTGAATAATGCACGTTATTGCACTTTGTATTTCTGGTCTTGACCTGAGGCATTGCCATAACCACAACACTTGTAATACTTGGCAATTTAACTAAATAGACTGTCTTTGAAATATAAACACATCTCAGCTGCTTGTTGACAAAACTGTTTGAAGACACCAGACATTAAAACCTATTAGTCCTCATTTGTTGTAGGGAGATCGTAGCAGGGAAGAACTTTTATCCATAAATGTCTGCACAGAAACTCTTTTTGAGCCTGAAAATACTGTTTTCCCTAGGAACCTCACGGTAAGAAAGCAAAAGTACATTCAAGACACAGATCCACTATCTGCATTATATTTTCTAATCCCACCTTCCCCCATAAAAATCAATTATTTTGTCTTGTTGCTGTACACTTCTCAGAGCTAAAGCATATCAAATTAGAGCCATCATAAAAACACGGGGTTTCCTGTTCCTGAAGATATGATGCCAAAACATTGGTGAATTTTGTATGGTTGTCGGGTGCTGCTGTTGTAATTTCATTTCACTGTATTTGTATTTTTACATCCTTAAATGGTTTCTGTCCTCTCCTGTTTCAGGTATGGCTGGAATCTCCCCATCCCCTGCTGTCTCCCTTTAGGGCTGCTGTAAAAGCTAACTGAAGACAGGAGGACTTTCTGTGGATTTAAAGGGGCTTTGTAGGAGGTACTGACTTCAGCTATCTTGCGCAGGCTTTGCTTTTAAAAACACTTTCTTTGCAAATTATGTCCTTCAGTGTCTTGCAGTCATTGCTGCTTGAGTTGTCTGCAGTTCATCAATACTCAGGGACAAAGCAACCCACTGAGAAAGATGCTCCAGGTCCTGCCATACAAAATCTCCCTGTTTGTCTCCATAGTCTTTTAGATGAGGATGCCCTTTTAATGTCCACTTTGCCAGAAGTGAGTATGCTGCTTGCTTTGTAAACAGAGGAATAACCCACTCAGGCTTGCCCTTTGTTTGACTTTGTATTCAATGAACATCAAGCCAAACAGCAGCTACAATGCCTGACCTTAGACTGAAGTTCAGTAAGAAACACTAAGATCTTAAGGCAGAGGGTTTCATATTACTGACTCCTCTGTCTTTCATTGATTAGATGCTTTACAACTGATAGTGGGTTTCAAGGTTTATTTGAAACTTTGTCAGGAGGGAGAGAATGGGGGAAGGGAGAGAGCAAGCAAGGCTAAGGGTTTCTTTTACAATTATTGTGTGGCATTAAGATGGGAATAAACAAAGGTGGCAGAGGGGAATGCCATTAATGTACCATTTTGCAAATCTACTCCTCAGCTTATCATTGGGTCAGTTCTCTGCAGTGGTAGCTGGGGAGATGGGGGTGGACGCTGGAAGGAGGAAGGGTACAAAAGGGAATTTGGGAGTTGCTCATTGTAGAGAATTTCTTCACTTTCTGCAAAATGTATTCAGCTCCAGCTGAAGCAAATGAGAGTGATCCAAATATTATGAATTTTTATAAGTAATCCACAATTGGTCCTTGGGAAAATGTCATATAGGTGGAATGCCATGCAGGGAACTTTGTAGCGTTGGTTCACAGCACACAAAATGTGCCCATGGGAAGATCTGCTGCCAGGGTCAGATTCAGGAAAGACTCAGCTCACACAGAGAGGTATACCAGGAAAAGTATCAATACAGAAAGAGGCAATAAGGCAAGATCCTTATTTTGCCCAGCTACCAAGAGCCAGATTCAGAGGACGCTTCCAGAATAAAAGCAAAGGTGCAGGTAAGAGGCATTTCAATTAGATGACCTTTCTACGCTTTACCCTCAAAAAATGCTTTCAAAGCTGCCAGGCACACACAGCAAGGCTGGGAAACACTGCTGGGGCCAAAGTCAGATATGGACCAAGGCCGTAAGCACTGAAGTCAATAGAAATATCCACAAGGAATTTTCAGTATCAGCAGTTTTAGATTCAGAAGTATCACAGAAGATGTTTTGGTAATCACTGTAGGACTCAGGAAAAAATGTATGTAGTATGACTCTCTAAAAGATCATGCGATGTTAACACTGATCATATAAAGGGGGTGTGCCTCTGCGTGTGCATGTGCACGCACGTGTATGCTTCCTGACCCACTGGTGTTGAAAAAGCGTAAGTATCTGTCTGTCTTGAACTAATGAGATGAAAAGAGAGCATGAAGCAACCTGTAATTTCTGTAGTCTGTGGCTAAGGTGTTAAAGAGAGGGGGTGTATACTGGAATGCACATAACCCTTTTCTAACCTCTCACGCCTTCCCCGTGTAGAAGATAAGGATTGACAGGGAGTTATTTGCCCACTCAAGCTCTCAAAGAGCTCAAGGAACTGCCAGTCAGTCTGTAGTCCAACTGAGCTCCCTGTTTCTTGAGTGATATCTCCTCCTGTCAGGCCTGTAATTAATGTTTTTAGTCTACCTTTCCAGTGCAAGTTTTTGACTAAAGACGACAAAATTTAACAGTCTAGCAACTGAAGAAAGAGCATTCAGGCTTCAGAAAGTATTCTCCAAATGGGACAAGTTTTCCTCACTCCTAATCCTGCCTTTGAGAAACAAAGGAAGTCCGTGCTGCTAGGATTTCTGGGATTTATCAGTAGCTGGTGACATGAGCTTCAGGAGGTGACCTTGGACTCCCTACAGCCTGATCCACCTTTACTCTGTTCTCATTCTGACTGTGGCTTACCACAAAAGTTTAAAAAGTTGAAAAGGTCAAGAGTGCTAAAAGAATATTTCTTGTCTATCATCTGTCCTGATGTTCTAGTGGGAAGTAGTGGTTTTCTCCCAAGCACAGACAGAAAACTTGTACTCAGACCCCCATGAAAATTGCAGTCTGTGCTCCAGACTCCCATTATCAATCCAAACACACAGATTATTCTATTATCTCTCTCACTTGCACCCCTATGACCATTTTCACCTGCACTAGTGCAGACTGTCAGCAGTTCAAAACACTCCAATAATTCAATGGGAAAGAGTTCAGAGATCAACAAGAGCACTCAGAGACCTATGAAATATAATCTATGAGAAAACGGCAAAGGAATTTTTGTTTTCTTATATATAGAGAAGACTGAACAGAGACATGATAACAGTCCTCAAAAATGTAAACGACTGCAGCAAAGAGGAAGGAAATAATCTCTTCTCTCCCACGTGGAAAGGATAAGAATAACAGGCTAAAATTGCAGAAGGGACAGTTTTTATTAGATATTAGCAAAACCCTTTCTAGCTGTTAGGATGGTGTTACTGAGGCACTGGGTAGGCTGCCTTAGAAATCTCTCCATCTGGAACATTCTCAAAGCAGGCTGGAGCACCGTCTGTGCTAATGGGACAGGTACCACTGACCTGCTGTAATCTTGGAGTGGGAGAAGGAATTGGTGACTCCTTAAAAACCCTTCTAGCCTTGCTTTTATATAATTTAATGATTCATTGGGTAAGTGCATGTTCATTTATCACCCTCTGGAAGAGTTTTAGAAGCATTACTTTCATCCGTGTGTTCTTTGTCTCCAGAGCCTTCTTTAAGATGATTACTCTTCCAAACTCTACACTATGTTCTGTGGTTCTCTCCTATAAAAGGTGAAGCTACTCCTGCTAACCAGGAACTATAATCCAATTATTAACTGAAAGGCCGTGGGGCTAATGCTCCAAGAGAAATTGCAAAAAAGGGGCCCTCGGTTACCTAGTCCCTTGTCTTCACTTTTGCATTGCTGATTTTTGCTCTTTATAGACAACCACCAGTGAAACACAGAAAACAGGACCTAGGACAAGAATGGCTAGCAGAGTCAGTGCCTGGCTGTCACAGGCAGCCCTACCAGGTAATCCTTCTGGTAAACTCAGCAAACTCATTCTCCAGTCCAGTTCAGTTGCTTGTCCTTGCTACTCTCACTGGCTGGCTTCCCCAGAATATCAGCACTTAGGCAGCCAAGAACCTTCCCCTAATTTCTAACCTAGCATTCTTTCTTGGCCGGTTTATTAATTAGTTTCTCTGCTAATGCTGTGTTTCGATCTCCCTGGAGTTTTCCAGTTTAGTGGATTTGTTGCTGGCATCAGCATCCCTCTTGCTTTTCATTCTGTAAGGCTAAACATGTCAAGTTCTATTGATACCTTCTCAGAGAACCAGGTGAATGAGCTCAGAATGGATCAGTAGCATACTTCTTTCCTGATACAACGAAGAGGTGGCCCGAAGTTACAGGGTGGAGAAAGGATGTCTCCAAACCAAAACCAAACTACTTTTGTAACACAAAATCAGGGTCTGAGGAGAGTTAAGAAGTGAAGGTGCCCTGAGCAGATAACTGTGCTCTGTTAGAAGTGTAGTTGTCCTACATAAACTCTTGTGGTCTTGGTTAGGGTTATGTCTCAAGTACCACCACAAATCTGAGAGTGGTGGGGAAGAGCAGTTCTTGTCTTGAAGAATCTTCACACAGCATGGCCTACTTTCTGCTGCCAGCAGTCTCTAGTGGCAAGCACTAAAGCCCAAGAACCGGAGTTCTTCTTCCCATGTCCCCTTTGCAGATGCCAGACCAATTGGTAGCACCAGCACTGCAACACTGGTTACACATTCAGCAGCAATGCTGCTTGAACCGGCTTGTCCCCACCCTTCTCCACTCCCAGCTGCCTTTTCTATTTCCCACCGGGTGCCCTCCCTACTGCCAGCATAAGTGTTTGTGCAGTTATGTGCAGAAGCAGGTCAGGGATGTGATCCCAGGCAAAAAAAATAGCCTGCAACTTACTTCTTTTATTTTTTTTCTTTTTTCTTTTTTTTTTCCTAGCTGGAAAAAGTTCTTGTGTCTGGTTTCTTCACTGGCTGCACAAACACTTTGGCTGGCATAAGGGAGGGAAGAGGACGGGGGTGTAAATAAGCAACTTTGCCATGCACGCTCCTCCCAAGTGAATGTGGCTGATCCACAGAGCCTCCCCTCCACTCTCAGCTAGCGTGGGCTGATTTTGCAAGGAGAATCACATACTTGCTCTTCGTCATGCCCCAGATGCTCCCCACCCTCCTTCTAAGGAACACTGCTCTTTCTCCATCCTTCTCTAGTACGCATTACCAGAAGGACTCAGATCAATCAACCTCCATTAGAACAGCCAGGTTTTGGAGGTGTCCCAATTGTCTTGTGTTGTAAAAAGCAGACTGGAAGAGAGTTTGGGGGTTGTTGAGTCTTAACACTGGTGAGTGCTGACATTCATGTCACACAATCCCTTCTAGAAGCTGGGCTATATTTTCTATACTCTAACCTTTGTACTGTTACAGTGGTGTATTCTTGAAGAATAATTACCAATTACTAGAAAGATAGTTTTAAAAAATTTATCTCTTTGTACCACTTACAGTAAAAAGTAAATCTTAGTTAGAATTGTGTTCATTGAGGCACTCCTTTCTTGGGCAGCTATTACAATTCAAGTTAAAATAAACCCACTCCTCTCTTACATTTTTTTGGCTCTGAGCTTTGCTATTAATAACCTAGATAGATAATTTCCAAGAGAAATTTTATTATTTGAAGCTTTCTCAGTCTAATTTGTTTGCGTCCAGACACGTCAAGAGGGCCTGATTGTTGCTAAATGAGTGGTTTAGGATCACTCAAAGTATCACCCTCAAAGATATTAGGAATAATGGTTTCAATATGAATTTATGAAAGTGTGTCTTAAAAAAGGTCAATGGCAAGGTTCAGTCTATTACTTGCTGCACGGATGATACATACAAAGGAAAATAAAGGTAAAATTGAGCTAAAATTATTAACACAGAGACCAAAGACACAAAAGAGTAAGGGAGACTCTGCCATGGAGTCACAAGGTTCAGAGTAGAGCCCCTTGCTTTCTAAGCTCCGATGAAGCTTTAGGTGCAGGTAGGTCCAATCTTAGTCTCAGGTTTGAA